AACCTGACTGGAATTAGAACTCCACCCTCCAATTTCCAATTCTGAACAGTGATCCATTACAACACCTGTACATTCAAGCTTCAAGCAGTCACCAATCTCAACATTGATTAACTTTGATCATACAAAAAACATGAATGTAAGTTGCCTTGACAACACATTGTTGTTGAACATGAGGTGCTTTTGTTACACTAAAATGATGGCTAATATTCCTGCTGAAACAAAGATAAAGGTTGTGACTTTAATGGATGAATGAGAGATAGCCAGGCATCTGGTAATTTCCAGAAACAGTGTTCAAACAATTCAAGATATTTACTGCTAGTGGAAGTGTTTTAAATGCAAAGAAAAATGGAAGACCCCAAAAATAAAACAAGAGAGATGAAAGATTGTGTAAGTTTCACTAGGCAATCCAAAATTAACAGCCAAACAAGTGAGGAGTAAATGCACTTTTACTAGTGAAGTTCCAGTTGATACAGTCTGCAGAGTTTTACAAAAGAAACCCACAAAAAACAAAACAACTTGACCAGGTGTATAGCAGCAAAACAACATCATTAACCAAAAAACATTGAAATAGAAGATTGAAGCAGTGAAAAAGAATTCTAACATGGGATGTGGTAAAGTGGCAAAAATAATTTTTTGTAATGAATGCAAAATAGAGTTCCATTCTAATAAAAGAGAATATCTAAGAAGACCAGTGTGAGAAAGAAACAATGCAAGATACACCACAAAGATGGTAGAATTGGGTGGAAGATATGTGTGGGGTTATATCAAAGGTAATGTGAGAAGAAAACTGGTAAAAGCTGATGGAAACCTAAACAGTAAAACTATATTAGTTTACTACAGTCTAATCTTCTGCCAGACTACAACACTGGCCCAATCAAAACCATATAACTCCAGTTGAAATTTTTTTTTTTACCCAAATGTTGTTCGGTAATGGGCACACGTTTCTGGGCTATTTTTTCACAATGAATCTGAAAATCTGGTCCATTTTGCCCCGTCACATTTTCTCAGTATAGATAATTTCTATTTTGCTTAAAATAGGCCAAAATGTCTAATTCACAGGAATATACCATGGCTTAAATATGCAAGTGACATTTCATTTCATGTTAAAATGATTTCTCATTAAAGAAAAAGTATTCAAATAACTTTCAAAATGATCAGATAAGCTGACCTGAAAATGCTTGATATTATGAGAGATATCTTACTAGAAAATATTCTTGAGCACTAAATGTTTTTAGCTTGTTAAATTTTTGTAATTTGCATTTCTTCTCTACTTTTCATAGAAGAAGCTCTTTAGAAGTCATTCAAGAACAGTGATTTTAGTTCTTATTAGTAGTTTTCACTTTAAGTATAAAAACCTCTCATAAGATTTTATCATATCACTTGAATTTATGGAGGTCTGGTGTTGTCATGCAGTCTCTGTATAACATGCATAGGAACATTAATAAATGAGGGTTGTTAGGGTGTTAGATGAGTATATTTGAGACTAGCAGGATTAGAATTTTCTTTATCAGCACTTAAAATAGCCGCCAAACACCAGATAAGCATAGCCAATTAGGTACTTTGCAGATTGAATGTTAACATGATGGCTGATTTCTGCTGGAACATCAAAAGAGATGAACCTTTTCAAAAGCACCGTAGAGTTTCCAAGAAGAGAAGATTTATGCCTTTGGATGGACCAAAATGAATGTACTTTTCATTCCTTTGTATCTTTGTTTTGATTAAAAAATTGACGCCTTAATTTAATTTTGTGTGAGATTTTTCTGAAAAATTTTTCTGAATAGAAAATGCCAAAAATGCATTCTTTAAGTTATTGGGTTATTCTAACCTGCAGCAGAAATACCTTCCACATAATGGTAAGATATTAGGTAGATGAAGACACCATTGCCGTCAATGTCTTACCATTATGTGGGAGGTATTTATGGGAGGTATTTCTGCTGTACGCCATACTTTAAAATAGTCCAAAAGTTTTGGAATTAAATGTCTTTGGTTTCTCAGGCTTATTAGATTCAGGTCTCATCAAAGATGTTATGAGGGAATAGGTAAGTCAGTCAATCAGTTAAGTGATACATGTTTGGTGATCATATCTCTTTCCATTCATGAGACGGGAAATATTCCTGCAGTAGGTTGCCATTTCTTTCTGTGGTAGACTGGATCTTATAGTTTCGGTTGGCAATCAGTCTGTCCTGCTATTCAACTCATGGCTGGGGGTGGGGAGATGAAATGGATTTATACCTTTACCAAAGGTATTGGCACATGTGCATAACAAACCTGACCAAAATTTGAACTTGGCTCTCTGAATTCTCATTCCAAGCAGTTATTTATTATGCCACACAATAAGTAAATACATGAGTTGAATTCTCTGCTTAAATATTATTTATTAAATTTTTACAAACCTTGTTTTTTGATTTATTGTTCAGGTTTCATGAGAAACTGTATGTTCTTCTGATAACAGTTGCTGCTATTTAACTTATAATGGAAGATTTTACTATAGCAGTTTATTTGAAAATAGTCCAACAAGTTTTAAGTTTTGCCATTGACAATATAAGGATACAGAGGTGCTTATCTCCCTTTGGTGATGATGGGTTATGTGATGGCTGCTTAATGATGTCACCTGATACAGTGACTACAGCAGCAGTAAAATTTAGTTTGTTTTACAGCACCAAACCAAAAGGTTGCTTTCTTTTTAGCCTGGGCCAAGGAGCCCAAGCTGAGGTTAAATCTGCTACCCCTGCAGCTTAAAGGTCCATGGTGCTACTTCCCTTTGGGAATATATCTTTCCCAGATATAGAATGAAACTCCAGCTCACAGTCCTCAAGACTCACTGTTTCCCATTCGTGGAATATGTCCTCACGTGGGACATACATGAATCTGGCCCATTTTTCACATGGCTTCTCCAGATACAGAATTATCTCCATATATATATATAAGACTCTTTCTTTTTGTTTTTCTTTATGCTCTGCTTTGCTGTGTAGATATATGTGATATATTATTCTCTGTGTGGGACACATATGGTCCTATGCATATTTTAGTAGTATAAAAGCCTCTCTGAGAATGTATGTTTGTCATTCCTTTTCCTTTCAGCCATTCTGTTATGTCAGTGAAATACGTATGCTATTATATCACAGGTATAATAATGCTCATAATAAGGGAAATACAAATGGGAGAATAAATCATTCTTCTTTAGCTCTCCCCCATTCCAACAAAATGGTAGATCCAGCTATTCTATTTGTTGCTGGTTGTTGTATTACATTACCAATCATACTGTTTCTAGCATTGGTGTACATCTTGGATCTTTGTTACCAAGTGATGTTTCTATTAAGCTAAGTCATAAATTGTTTGCATTTTTCTTTATTGACATTATTCTTCAAAAGATTAAGTACCATTATATTTTATTCAATTATATAATCACCATTATTTGCAATGACTTGTTACCACCTATCAAGCAGCACTTTGTTACCTTTTGAATAAAATTCCACAGATTTTCATATGAAGAAGTTTATGACAAACTTTTGAATCTAGTTTACATTAGAGGAAGTTTTCCCCATCAAATCATTTTGCAGTAATCTTTCTCCAAACTCATTTTATGGCTTCTAATTATTATTTTTAATCTGTTCTTTCCTTATTCTTCTCAATGCTTAATTAGCTTGAGTTTTTTCTACAATTTAATCTTAATTATTTCCTGCTTCCAATAGTCATTAGGCATTCTCATGCAATAAAGCAATGAACGAGTTACCACCCTCTTATATCCCTCCTGCAATAAAATGTTGAAGCAAGATTTCCACCCTGTTATTATAAGTGTACTCTAAATTTATTTCTTCCACGTATTAATATTTAAGATTATGCATATGTCATTATAATTGTTTACCAAAAATAGAAATTTCTTATGACCAAACCTAATACTTATTATGTACAAGAGTATCTTTGTCAGCCTATGAACTTTTCAGCTGACCTTTGTATTTGCAATATCAAATATCTGTTTGTTCAAAATACTTGTTTTAATTTGGATCAGATTGTGGCCAATACTTTCAGAAGAAAAATTACAATCACTGATTTTTATTTTTAATCATTTCACTCCAAGCAAGGTGATAAAGCCACTAAGACACAAGGATTTACTGTGTATGAAAGAAACTGAGAAAATGTTATTGAGCAGAGAGAACAATAAAAGAACACAATTCAAGGATATAGAAGATGACAATGTTGCTTTTAAATTTTTAAAGATTATAGTTGACAGGAAAGCAAGAAGCCATAAGTTAGTTCCAAGAAAAGAAGCTATTAAAACAAAACTTATGGTTATATCTCACAATTTCAACAGTAACATAATGAGACCTATCTGCCAATCTAGCATTGCACTTAGAACTTAAATTCATGAAAAGGAAGTACCAAAGAGGAAAGCTTATTATAACAATTACTATCAAAGTATTTATAGAAAAGGCACAGGGAAGCTACATTATGGTGGTAGGCAAGTAATTGAAGCCAAGATGCCAAGTCAAGATGGATAATATTGCAGATTCTTTTGGTGGTGTTGTCAAGAATCTTAAGATATTTAGCAGAATCTCCAAACAAGATGTGGCAGCAATATTCAATGTATGGATGAATGGTAAACTTATAAAGATCCAAGATATATTCTGGTGATATAGTCTGTTATACTTTGATACCCTCAGTTGTTAAAATGGATACTCATTCTCAATATGGACTTCTCACTGAGAATGAGTTCTTAGTTTTAACAATTGATGGTATCAAAATGTATCTGTTGTCAGTGACTGAGCTCAGCTGCACCTGATTTATAACTGTGTTTAACAAAATATTGAGAAAATCAACATTTTCATGCTTGTTAGCATTCAACTAATTAATGTTTCAACATTTCTTTCATCCCTTGAGTTTAAAAAATTTCCGAATAGACAATCTTTACTGGCTGCATGATGATTTCTTTTGAATTCATTGAGAACTTATTTTTATTGGAAGTTATTTCTGTTTCGTCATATGTTTTCCTGAATTGAACCTTATACTTTTATATGTTCCTGATATTTATAAAAGGAAGGAGTAAAATTACAAACAGGGAAAGGGGTAGAGGGAGAATGGAGAGTAAATAGGAGAAAAAGAGACAGAAAAGAACAAAGTAGAAAAGAGAAAGAAGGAGAGAGAAAAGGAGATGACAGAGGAAAGAAGAGAAAAAGTGAAGAGAGAGGTGAGAGAAAAAAGGAAGAAAAAAGCAAGATGAAAAGAGAAAAGAGGGAGGTAGAGGAGAGAGGGGAGAGAAAAAGGGAAAGAGAGGAGAGAGAAAGGAGAGAGAAAAGGGGAAAAGGGGAAGAGAGAGAGAAAGGAGAGAAAAGGGGAAGAGAGAGAGAGGAGAGAAAAAGAGAGAGAAGAAAATGGGGAGAGAGAGAGAGAGAAAAGGGAAGAGAGAGAAAAGGAGAGAAAAGGGAAGAGAGAGAGAAAGGAGAGAAAAGGGAAGAGAGAGAGAAAGGAGAGAAAAGGGGAAGAGAGAGAAGAGAAATGGGAAGAGAGAGAGGAAAGAAATGGGGAAGAGAGAAGAAAAGGGGAGAGAGAGGAGAGAAAAGGGAAGAGAGAGAGAAAGGAGAGAAAAGGGAAGAGAGAGAGGAGAGAAATGGGAAGAGAGAGAGGAGAGAATGGGGAAAGAAAATGGGGAAGAGAGAGAGAAATGGGGGAAGAGAGAGAGGAGAGAAAAAGGGAAGAGAGAGAGAAAGGAGAGAAAAAGGGAAGAGAGAGAGGAGAGAAATGGAGAAGAGAGAGAGGAAAGAAATGGGGAAGAGAGAGAAAGAAGAGAAAAGGGGAAGAGAGAGGAGAGAAAAGGGGAAGAGAGAGAGAAAGGAGAGAAAAAGGGAAGAGAGAGAGGAGAGAAATGGGGAAGAGAGAGAGAAAGGAGAGAAAAAGGGAAGAGAGAGAGGAGAGAAATGGGGAACAGAGAAATGGGGAACAGAGAGAGGAGAGAAATGGGGAACAGAGAGAGGAGAGAAATGGGGAAGAGAGAGAGGAGAGAGAAAAGGGGATGAGAGAAAAGGGGAGAGTGAGAGATAAGAGAAAAAGGGAAGAGGAGAGAAAAATGGGTGAGAGGGAAAAAAGAAAACAGGATAAGAGAGAAAAATGAAGAGAGATATATAAGAGAAGAGAGAAGGAAGATAGAAAAAAGTAATAGAATTAGGTGGAGGAGAGGGAAAGTGAATAGAAAGGGAAAGGGAGAGAAAGAAAAATCTCATTCAATTTTAACTAAATTATTTTAAAATTATTTTCAATCTGAATTCTGGGAGAAGCATTTTTCCTAATTAAAGCATATATACAATATATTTTTGCTTTTTTTATATATTTTTTTTAAAACATCACATACACATATTTGATATCCAATATCTATAACAAGCAGATTATCTCTAAGAATATCTCCAGAACAAATACAATTTGCCATGCATTTTATTTATATTTCCAGGATTTTTTTTACAAAAATTATTTTCTTTTAAATCAAAATTATTCAATATTTCTAGTTCTTTCTTTTTCTCCTTTTGAAAACAGCTTTTTAAATGAATATTTATTTGTTTTTTTTTAAACAATCACTAACAACCACTTGAATAAAATCAGCTGCAATGAAACAGAATTAATATTCACAAAAGAAATAAACATTACTCCAGGTTTAATGTTTAGAAAACATTTTTTTTGTTAAAAGATGGTTCCTTTGTATATCTAGAACAAAGCCAGCCACCACCAGCTGCACAGAAGAAGTTAAAATATTCTGATAATTTCTATCAATGTTTGATAAGAAACATACACACACACACATTTCTGAAAAAAGATCGTTTCTCAGTGCATAAAATTCACTATGTCAGGTTCTATTGTGCAAGACTATATTTTCATAATAAAACTGATATTAAACCAAGCAAAGTTAGTAAAAATTTCAGGATTATATGAGAAATATACCAGGTCAATTTCAGCTTTTAATATCTTTTTTTTTTAGACAAGGATCTGTATTGACTTATTGAATGTAAACAGTGAGCCAATTCTGAGAGAACTACAAGTCCTACCAGAATACATTATTAGCAACCACAATCTTAACAACATAAGATATGCAGATGACACAGTTGATATCCAACACAAAAGAAAAACTCTTACAGAAGTGAAGAAATAATCAAACATCAACTGCAAGAAGACAGAACACATGGTTGTTAGCAAAAGGATGAACTGAAAGTTTGAATTGCAAATCAGAGATACTGAAATCAAATAAGTGCGGAAATTTAAATATCTGGGAAGTGTTTTAACAGAGGACGGAAAGTGCAACACTGAAATCTGAAGGCATATCAGAATAGCTAAGGAAGCATTCCAAAAGCTAAGCAGAGTACTAAGAAACAGAAAAATCTTCACTATAAACAAGGAAAAGAGTACTAGATAGCTATGTGATATCTGTCCTCCTGTATGGCAGTGAGTTCTGAACATACTCCTCAAAGATGAAGAGAAGACTTGAAGCAAGAGAAATGTGGTTCTACAGAAGAATACTGTGGACCAAACAACAAAGTTTTGGAGAAAATGGGGGGAAAAAGAGGTGTAGTGGAAGGATGCAATGTAATATGGCCTGTGTACCCCAATAAGGAATAGGTGTAGTGCAGGGGTGCAATATAACATGGCCAATGTACCCTAATAAGGAATAGGTGTCACAAGAGGCCCACTAACATTTTTAAACATAAAAGATGTGAAATCTGACAGGTCAACAAATGACAAAATTAATTTACATCACATACAAAAGTATGTGTTTGAATTAAAGGAACAAACAATGAATCAAATAATGGAGGCAGAATCAAGTAAATTGAGGAAATACTGACCGGCGAGGAGATCTAGATAATATAACTGTGACTAAATGTTAAAAGTAGAGTTCATAAATAATAACATTAACACAGACAAAAATATTTTCATAAAGGCCACAGAAAAAAATTTTAAAGAAAGATATATAGTGCGAGTGCAATATAATATGGCCTGAATGCCCCAATAAGGGATAAATGTCACAAAGACACAAATCTGACAGGTCAACAAAAGGGCAACAAATGACAAACTTAAAATTAATACAAAATTTATTTACATCACATACAAAAGTATGTGTTTGAATTAAAGGAAAAAACAATGAATCAAATAAACAAACAATCAAATAATAGAGGCAGAATTAAGTAAATTGAGAAAATACTGACCAGCTAGGAGATCTAGATAATATAACTGAGACTAAATGTTAAAAGTAGAGTTCATGTAAGTTAAGTTGGCATGTAAGTCCACAGTTTGAAAATTCAGTTCTAATGTCCAGTGAAATTGTTATGGTTAAGTTTGATGGTGAAGCTTCAATAGTATTTTAACCAAAGTGTACGGAATAGGTTATTTGAAGTCTGGACAATATAGCCAAGGAGAAGAAAGTTTAATTTAAATGTCCAGTGCTAGTGTTGTATAGTTGCTGCTTAAGTCCAATGATGAACCTTCCATAGTATTTTATCCAAAGTGCATGGAGTTGATTGTTTGTGTCTGGACAATATGCATGCAGCAATTTTCTAAACCAGATGAGTTAGGTTGAGAGGAAAGCCAGAAGTTCAGGACTGTTGTAAGCCAGTCCATTAACACCAATGAAACAGGTGAGTTAGGTCAAGAAAGAGACACCAGAAGTAAGGAGTATGGTGTAGCCAAAAGTCATAAGGGTCAACAATGCCAGAAGATAAGGGTTCGTGATAGCCAGAAGTAATAATGGCTTAGTATGCCAGAAGTAAGAGTCAGGTGCTAGCCAGAAATAATAAAGGCCAGGAATGTTTGAGTCGGGATGATTTGCATGCTGCCATTTCTTAAACCAAGTTAGTTAGGTTGATAGGAATGCCGAATGCAGGGGCCTAGTGTAGCTGGAAGTTCAAGGCTACTGCAAAAAAAACTATTTCTTACTTAACAGTTAAAATATTTAATCCTTGAAAATGGCTAAATGTATAGCCAAAAGATGAAAAGAACATTCGGACAGTTTTTATATAATTTATCATCTGAAAAGAAAAAAATTTTTGGATTGGTTGTTGTAGTCTATTCTAACAGTTATTTTGGCAGGATTGGTTTATTAATTTGTTTATTATTATTTACTTTATTTATTTATTTGGGTTGATTATTTTTACTTGTTTTTTATGTACTTTTTTTTTTTATTCTATTTCATCTATTCTAATGGGAGTGGCTTGTTAATTTGTTTATTATTTGTTTGGGTTAATTTATTTTACTTGTTTTTTATATTATTTTGTTTATTTGTATTTATTCATTTCAGTTTTCAATTTTTAAGTAACGTAGTAAAAATTTGTTTTCATGTCGGCATTTTGAAATGAGCACAGATCATTTATTTAGTAATTTATTTTGGTGTGGGAAGGTAATGATAGATATTTTTTCCTCCAAGCAAAGTTTGCAGGTTTTTTGATTGATTGTTGTAGGCTGATGATCTTTTCCTTATTTTCCATGATATTTTTAGTGTGATTTGTGTTTTGTTTTTAATTTCCCAGATATACGTGGAAAGCATTGTGCTGTTTGCATATTTACTATTTGTGAAAGATGTTTTGTGTGCATAGTTTCTTTGTTTCCATGGTCCTTCAGTTACTCCTATATATACTTTTTTGTCATTATCTGGTGATTTTACTGTGGCTTGGTATATTATGTTGTTTTGTAAGCAATTACCATTTAAGGGACATTCCTTATTCTACATGTTACATGTCGGTTTAATTTGTTCAGGTGGTTTGTTGATAGTTTTCCTGCTATGCTTTTTTATTATTTGTGCCATGTTCTCGGCACAACTGTAGCTGATTTTTACAGTGTTTCTATTGAATATTTTGTGTAGAGTGCTTGATTTCGGGAAGTGTTTGTTTAAGAGTTTGAAGAATATTTTTAGATATTGATTGATAATAATTTTCAATATCAAACTGCATTAGTGTGCATATTTTAAAATTGTAGTTCAATATAACGTATTCTAACCCAACACCCCTTTTAGAAAGAATCTTTAAGTATACAAGTATGAATTTAACAGAAAAAAATGCCAAAAATTTTTTTGTTGTTGATAAAAAAAAAACAGACGACATGAGTTGAACAGATGTCAAAATTCATTGAAAAATGCACCCCTACCATCCCTAGACTTAACCTCTTTTTTCGAACATAACTCACAATTGATACAATAATAGTTAATAAAAATGAACATGCTACCACCCCTGTCTAAATGACTGAATTTCTCCATATCCTTGGAAGCAAAAAATTATGAATTGTATGTGCGTTTAAAACTCAGTAAATTTAAAAATTCACTTGAAGGTGAAACAGAACTAATGCTTTTAATTTAATTATATAATTAAATTTGAAGTTTTCAGCTTCAGTTTTTGAAACATGGTAATTCTTGTGTAGCAAGGAAACCATATTTTAAATCAGTTAATTTATAATATTTATGCTCTGTAAATTTACATTGAGCACTGTTTTGTAAAAATAAAAATATCAATAAGAACGCCAGATTATATATCTTACTGTTCTTTCTTTTTATTATAATATATATATATATATATATATATATATATATATATATATATATATGGTGGTTGCCAACTCATGTCCCAGTACGGCCATTGCTACATATCTTTTTTGGAGAATATCTACTGATGTGCTGAATGAATGTTTCTCTTTAGTGCAGCAAGGGACCCACATACTCTGGCACAAACAAGACACTTAAGGGGGAGCAACAGCGAGTGTTAGATTATCATGTAATTTAAAATGTCGCATGAAACCGCTTCTGGACATGCATGTTTCTTCTCCTTAAAGTGACACCTTCCACTCCAAGCAGCCTCATTCCAATTATTGTGATTAGATGCACATTCTTCCCAGTGCTCACAAGGAATGTTGCATTTCTTTAGTGCATCCTTGATGCAGTCCTTAATGGACATCTTGGGTTTAACAGCATTTCTCTCACCTGTTTGCAACTCACAATAAAACAATTGCTTTGGAATATGGCTGTCATCCACTCTGACGAGGTGGCCTGCCCACCGAAGTTGATGTTTTAGTATGAAGGACTCAATACTATCATCACAGCCACTCCTCTCTAGCACATCTACATCACGAACAAACATTTGCCAGGTAATGCCAAGGATATGACATAAGCAGTACTGGTGGAATCTGTCAAACCTTTTCATTTGTCTGCAGTAATCCAACCACATCACACAAGCTGTAAAGAAGTGCTATAAGCACACAT